GGCGTCTTTGACTGTTGCGCAGATCAACGAGTACAAATTGACACGTTTCCAAGCTTTAATTAGGTAATTTTCATGTGATTGGAAGGTATCGAAGGAGTCACCGACGGTAATCAGTGCAAGTCGTGCCCAGGTTAAATCTCATACTTGTTATTTCCATTTGAAGAGCGCATTGGATTGTGGGGAAATTAATGTTTATCAACACAAATGTCGAACATGCGCAGCGCGACGACTACCGCGCTTTAAGTTTTGCTGTAGAGTTTGGAATGATGTATTTACGAATACCGAAAGGAGGAGGAGGAAAGAAGGTGGCAGCGAGGAGTTACCTCAGCTAACTGTTTGGATGAATAAAGCTGGACTATCTGTAATGAACTAATGTGCATGTTTTTGGGGTTAGACCCTGTATCTGTCCGTGCGAGTGTTATGTGCCAAGCGAGTCAAAGTTCCCTGAACACAGCGCACAGTTCGCAACAGTAGAATATGACGTCATATCTACGTCATGTGTCAATGTCCTCGAGGACACAGCATCTCAAATCCATCTGTGTCGTTCGGTAGCACCGCTTTATTCAAAGAAGAATAAGAAAAAAAGAAAATTTACATGTTCATTGCTGTAACATCGAAATTAATTTTTAATTTATTGTTTTTCTTTGTATGACCAGGTGGGAGAGACGCGTGCAGAGGCGACAGTGGTGGCCCTCTTTTGTTCGAAGACCCGAACACCCTTCAGTACTTCGTTTACGGACTGGTCTCATGGGGGCGCCCTGGAGAATGTGCCTCGCCAGACTCCTATGGCGTATACGCACGTGTTAGTGGTCATTTATATTGGATCAAAGACGAAACTGCAATTCATCGATAATTAACTTAACATTTAAACGTACGTGTTGATGTTAACAACATGTGCGATTTGTGCCAGGAAAAACCGATCCAGATTGTGGCCACTTTGACAAATGTTACATCACTGGAAGCAACTGATTTATTTATGGTTTTTCTAATGTAAAACATATTTTCATAATCATTTGTAATATTTTTCTAAATTTATGGGCACAGTCCGTATATATTGCATGACTCAATTATTGTGTCCAAGACGTTTGTATAACAACTATTTTGCGTAACTATACATATACTTTGTTGACAACGAAACAAACTGTTCCTGATCGAACTGAAACGCATAAAACGCCAGTTCGTGAGACTTTATATTTCAATGGTTTGATACAAAAATAAAATAGAATATTGACGAAAAGTACTTGATTGAAATCCAAGTGCCTTATAATATAAAACTTTTTTGTTTCACACACTTCATCAGAAACCCTTTAAATCCGTTCAGAGAAATTTTGTCATGTGACCTTTGTTTTGGTGCATAATTCCTAACTGTTATTCTGCCTATTTATACATACTGACATATCTATTAACCTACTTTTCTGCATTCCTAAACACATTACTCGTCTATATGGCTTTCTGTTCATTCAGAACACTCTTCATTAATCAGGCTACTTTCCTGAACCTTTGGTTGTGCATGGATGGATGGGACCATAACATTGTCCGACTTTCCTTCTAGTCCAGGGTAATGTTCTACGCACATATACCGGTACCATTGCCAGACTTTCCTTCTAGTCCAGCGTAATGTCGTGCCTACACATACCATTGCCGGACTTTCCTTCTAGTCCAGAATAATGTTCGACCTACACATACCATTGCCAGACTTTCCTTCTAGTCCAGGATAATGTTCTGCCAACATATACAATTGCCAGACTTTCCTTCTAGTCCAGGGTAATGTTCTGCCTACATATACCATTGCCATACTTTCCTTCTAGTCCAGGGTAATGTTCTGCCTACACATACCATTGCCAAACTGTCTTTCTAGTCCAGGGTAATGTTCTGCCTACACATAACATTGCCAGACTTTCCTTCTAGTCCAGGGTAAAGTTCTGCCTACATATATCATTGCCAGACTTTCCATCTAGTCCAGGGTAATGTTCTACCAACACACAGCATTGCCAGACTTTCCTTCTGGCTCAGGGTAATGTTCTGCCAACATATACCATTGTCAGACTTTCCTTCTAGTCCAGGGTTATGTTCTGTCTGCACATATCATTGCCAGACTTTCCCTCTGGCTCAGGGTAATGTTCGACCTACACATACCATTGCCAGACTTTCCTTCTAGTCCAGGGTAATGTTCTGCCTACACATACCATTGCCAAACTGTCTTTCTAGTCCAGGGTAATGTTCTGCCTACACATAACATTGCCAGACTTTCCTTCTAGTCCAGGGTAAAGTTCTGCCTACATATATCATTGCCAGACTTTCCATCTAGTCCAGGGTAATGTTCTACCAACACACAGCATTGCCAGACTTTCCTTCTGGCTCAGGGTAATGTTCTGCCAACATATACCATTGTCAGACTTTCCTTCTAGTCCAGGGTTATGTTCTGCCTACATATACCATTGTCATACTTTCCTTCTAGTCTAGGGTAATGTTCTGTCAACACATACCATTGCCAGACTTTCCTTCCGGCTCAGGGTAATGTTCTGCCTACACATAACATTGCCAGACTTTCCTTCTAGTCCAGGGTAATGTTCTGCGTAAACATACCGTTGCCAGACTTTCCTTCTAGTCCAGGGTAATGTTCTGTCAACACATACCATTGCCAGACTTTCCTTCTGGCTCTGGGTAATGTTCTGCCTACACATAACATTGCCAGACTTTCCTTCTAGTCCAGGGTAATGTTCTGCCTACACATACCATTGCCAGACTTTCCTTCTAGTCCTGGGTAATGTTCTACCTACACATAACATTGCCAGACTTTCCTTCTAGTCCAGGGCAATGTTCTGCCAACACACACCATTGCCAGACTTTCCTTCTAGTCCAGGGTAATGTTCTGCCAACACATAACATTGCCAGACTTTCCTTCTAGTCCAGGGTAATGATCTGCCTACACATACCATTGCCAGACTCTCCTTCTAGTCCAGGATAATGTTCTGTCTGCACATATCATTGCCAGACTTTCCCTCTGGCTCAGGGTAATGTTCGACCTACACATACCATTGCCAGACTTTCCTTCTAGTCCAGGGTAATGTTCTACCTACACATAACATTGCCAGACTTTCCTTCTAGTCCAGGGTAATGATCTGCCTACACATAACATTGCCAGACTTTCCTTCTAGTCCAGGGTAATGTTCTGCCTACACATAACATTGCCAGACTTTCCTTCTAGTCCAGGGTAACGTTCTGCTTACACATACCATTGCCAGACTTTCCTTCTAGTCCAGGGTAATGTTGTGCCTACACATACCATTGCCAGACTTTCCTTCTAGTCCAGGGTAATGTTCTGCCTACACATACCATTGCCAGACTTTCCTTCTAGTCCAGGGTAATGTTCTACCTACACATACCATAGATAACACCGGGAGAAAGAAAGCCCGAGCAGCAGTTAGTGAACATGGCAGCATTATTGGGTAACCAATTGTAAATTTATCCTACGCTTCCTTTATTTTGGAATACTAGTATAGGGCTTTAACAAATTCAAAGTTAATACAGAATACAGCCATCTGTTATTTTCTGGGTGTACACCATGCTATAAGCTGTCATACATAGGTCAATTCTCATGGAAAAATAGAATTGTGAAACAGTTTTGTCTTCAAGTTATTGCAGTTACCCAGGTAGCTGCATGGTAGACCCATTTAAAGGGCAGTGGTCATGGCACTGCGTTCTGTTAGATATGCGATTCATAGCAATGTACAATACATTGTCTACGTGGAATTCAAACGCGCGCTATGGAACAACCACTATTATTACATATGTACTATGACAGAACCCCACACCCTCCCCGTGGCTTTCGTTGCGTATGGAAGTTATTTTCACGAGTGATGTGGTGTATCCTGCGGCCGTACTTTCACGAGCGAAGCGAGTGAAAGTACAGCAGAATA